CAAGGACGCTACTAGTAGCTCCTGGCCTTACTACTAGGAACAAGAGCCCTACTAGAAGCACAGGGCATCGCTGCTAGTAGCCAGGACGCTACCAGTAGCTCCTGGCCTTACTACTAGGAACAAAAGCCCTACTAGAAGCACAGGGCATCGCTGCTAGTAGCAAGGACGCTACTAGTAGCTCCTGGCCTTACTGCTAGGAACAAGAGCGCTGCTAGGAGCACGGGGCATCGCTACTAGTAGCAAGCACGCTACTAGTAGCTCCCGGCCTTACTACTAGGAACAAGAGCGCCTACTAGGAGCACAGGGCATCGCTACTAATAGCAAGGACGCTACTAGCAGCCCCTGGCCTTACTACTAGGAACAAGAACGCTACTAGGATCAAAGGGCATTGCTACGAGGAACAAGAACGCTACTAGGAGCAAAGCGAATGGCTACTAGTAGCAAGGACGCTACTAGTAGCTAGGGCATTACTAGTAGTAGCTAGAAGAAGCTACTAGTAACAAGTGCATCGCTGCTAGTAACAAGTGCATTACTACTAGCAACAAGAATCTACTAGTAGCTAGTGCACTCCGTCGCACGGGAGAAGTCAGCGTGGCACCTTTTCTTCCGCCCCCCAACCACTCTCAGGCAAAAGCTGTGACACGTGCAGCACGTGGACTTGATGGGTTCAATGGCCCCTTCTGAATCTAACATGGCTCTGCAGTGAACTTTCTCCTGACTCTGTGATCTCAGAGGTGTGTCTCAACACAACTTCCTCAGCTACAATCCTTTCTGGAGATATCTGCCTATTGAAAACATCCATGCAACAATCTAGTGTCTGAATGCTGCCGTGATGGCATAACTCTCCACTAAACCCATACTTGCCTTGCACGGAGCTCCGACAGAACCACCGTATTCATGGTGGTGTTCTTCGTGTCAGTGAACTGGCTCACATGCCATATAAGCCCTGGTTCAGGGACCCTGCGGTGGAATCCAAATCCCATGAGCCCTGGGGGGCCAGCCCAGTTGTCGGGGAAGAGCGGGAAGAGCGGACCCTTCACGACCTCGGGTTTAGCCGGGGCTCTCCGTCAACCCAAACATGTTAGTAGCTTCTTGCTACGAACGAAGCAAAGAATGCTCCTACTAGCAATGCCAGGAGCCCCTAGGCCCTAGCGTCCAAACGCTAGTACAGTAGTAAGGCCAGGAGCCCCGTTCGTAGCTTCTTGTTACTAGGGTCTGGTCTCTGCCGCGGAAGTCCGGGCTCGCCAGGTCTTTGGACTTAAGACTTCCAACTTGGACCGAGGTGGTCGTTCTTGGGCTTTTGACCAAACACCAAAAGACATGAAAAGGTGTCTGTTGGTCCCTTGTCACTTGTGTGTTATTTGGCAAGTTCATCTATCTACATCCATCTATCGATGCTGAGACTTCTGTCGGCTCCGAACCGACCAGTTCTCCCAAGGGGCCAAGTTGTGATGGACCATTCCCGAGAAGGCCAGCATGGCAAGACGTCCGTTGTTAAGCTCCTGTGGACGTTGGTCACCCAGCAAAGACATGCAATCTTGTAAAGAAGTGGTCCACACACCCTCAGTCTCAGAGCGCTCCAACCATGGTCACACTCGGATGTCGAGATGGACATGCGCTTCAGAGTACACGTGAAGACATAGAGATTACAAAAAGCAACAAACATGCTAAAACCATCTAACCATCTTAGGAATGCAGTCTTCACCCCGATGCAGGAGGTCCTCAGATCACCCCTTTGTGCGAAACATCACCTGTCCCCCCTCCCCGTCTCCTTGGTGGCCAAATCGTCTGCCTTCTCCTTGTCAACCGGCAAGAAGCGCTTCCCGAAGTTTAAATCGCCGGGCGCGCGATTTGCGCCGTCGCCCTCGAACATGTCCAGCATGGTGAGCTTACCTTGGGAGGAGGGTTTGTCTCAGCATTTCTGGGGCAGCGTGGGGCTCCGTCGCTGCCAAAGAAAGTCGGAAGTTGAAAGAGATGTCGAAGATCCAAAGCAGTGGGGTGTGGGTTGATTCTGAAGAGCCCCACTTGGGATGACTTGAAGGTCTGATGGATTTAGGAGATCCGATTTGGACTCAATGAAAGTAGCACGATCTGCCGACTGCTGCTTTGGAGGTATCTATCCACCAGGGACAGCCCTCCACAGGTGTACTATATCTGCCATGGATTGGTTCCCCTTATCGGATGGACGAAGTGACCACGGCTCTGTTTGGTCCCCTCCCTTTCACCACAGCAAATAGCTTGGGATCTTCATTCTCCAGCCAAATACTCTTCACAACCCATCATCGCATGTGAATTTCCACCTTCGAACGCCAAACAGAAAAGAACGATCACTGGGTTCCCAGTCACTGGACTTTGGAAACCAAAACCCTGAAGGAAGAAACTGAGACCGATTCGAGCGACCGATTCGTCCATCGGAAACGGGTTTGGACGTCCGTGTTGGAGCGACCCACAGAGTTTTCCACCAAGAAAATGCACAGTTTCTGGAGAAACTCTTGATTAGTAAACCCCCATCGGGGTTAAGAATCAATATTAACAAATAAGGGGTCCCAACCCGCATGCATGACTCATCTTCCTTCTGCTAAGTCACCGTTGTAGGCGGAGCTCTCGATGTAACCACAGATGAAGATCAGCAACCCTGTAATGTTGGGTGGCGCAGTATAGATGGCTTGCAGGGCGTCCTGCGGGTCCACCGAATGGGGAGGTGATTGAAAAGAAGGATCGCTTCGCTCGAATGATCCAAGCAACTGAACGAAACGAGTGCGGAAGAGAAGAGCCGAAAGCACATCTGGTGCTAGCAGTAGGCGACTGGAGGGAGCTGCTGCTGTTTCAGCACAGACTTTCACTTCCCTGACCCCCCTGACTTGTCCAGCAACTTCTTGGTCGCTTCAAATCCATCTCACTTTACCTAAAAGACTCACCTCACTTGCCTCTCCCCGATCTCCTCGCCTCAGAGCCGGTAAAGCCTGGAAACTGGAAGTACTGCTCGGTGACGAAGCCCACCGTGGCCAACATGCCTCGCCCCGGGCGAGAAGCACCGATAGGGTGGGCGCCGCGGGCATGGGTGCCGGAGCCCGATAGGGTGGGTTGATTCCGATCCGATCTATAAAAACGTCGACCTTTACGTCTTTGTCTTGATCGAAGGTGGATCGAAGGTGGATCGAAGGTTTTTCGAGTCTGGTGAGAAACCCGAAGATGCTGGCCACCACGAGCCAGTCACCAGCACCAGATATTTCAGTCCGAAAACGTCCCAGGTCCACACATT